CCATCCATCCATCCATCCATCCATCCATCCATCCATCCATCCATCCATCCATCCATCCATCCATCCATCCTTCCTTGTAGAACACTGCCATCTAGTGGTTAAAGGTGTAACTTCACACTTTAACTTTTACCAAAGTCATTTTTTGGTAAGATACTTGTACTTTTACTCAAGTATCACTTTGTGTTACTTTATAAAACTCTGCTGAATGTAATAAACACATGAAATGCACATATTTATGTAAAAGCTAGCAGTCAGTGCGGTGCTTCATGTTTTTTGTTTGATTTTTATTCTAAGCTCTGTCGTACACTCAGGCAGCAGAGGCTCATGGGACGTGTGTGAAACCTCCATGTGTGTTTAAATGTAGTGTGTTTGTGTGAACTGGTGCAGGCCTTCGGCCCCGTGTCACAGATGTCTGAAGGAGTTGTGGTGCAGCTGGGCTGCATCACTCAGGGCTTCAGTAACTCAGATCTGGAGACCCTTCAGCTGCCTCTGGACAGTCTGGATGACATCGCCAACTGTGGCTGGAAAGATTCACAGGTACATTCACAACACGTTCACCACAAAAAACACACAACCTACCCGCTGTAACACACCTCCTGGTCTCACAGATACCATCGATGTGGAAAGGCGTGGCTAAATACAACAACCTGACGGCGGGGCTGCTGGGAGCTGCAGAGCTGGTGGGTCTGAACCGGTTCCTCTGTGGCCTGAACTCCAGTGAGATCCTTCAGCTCAGCGTGGACGCCTTCAGGTAGGTTCACACACACAAATCACACCTGACTGCAGACACACTGAGTTGTGTTAAACAAAGTGAATCATAAAACTAATCTTTAGCACAAACCAGGGCTATTCAACTGGTGGTCCGTGGGCCACATCTGGCCCACAAGTGACCAAAGTCCGGCCCACCCATTGGTTCATTCACCTCTTAAACTCAAACTCCTGGTTTTCTACTTTAATTCCTCTGAGTTATTTTAGTAAAACACAGACATGTTTGTATCTACAGAAACATCAGAATCTTGGCTACAAACTGGTAAAAACATTTCTGTGAACATCTAAGACAGTTAAAACTACAAGCAGTTGAAGATAAAACTATAAAAATCAAAATGAAATTGGTTTAAAAATTTATCAACTCAGAGATGTTAAAATAATATTTGTGTTAAATAAGAGGCAGAATGTGTTCTTTTAATTTTTGTTGTTTCATTATCACTACTTTTATAGAGTTCAGTATGTATTCATGATTAAATACAGTAAAATAAACTATTTCAAAGGTAACAGATGTTTGTAAAACTTGGTTTATTTACAGAATAACTAATTGCTGGATGTTCGGCCCCTCAGCTTTTGACCTGCAGTAACCCCCCCCCCTCCCTCCCCGGTGTGATTTAGTTGATTGACCCTGGTTTAAAGACTTTATCCTCAGCAGATCAGTTGTGTGTTTGTGTGTTTGACACAGGGATGCAGTGGGCTCAATGAGTGGTCTTCAGTGCCCCACTGTGGTCCTACAGCAGCTCAAACAACTGGCTGTGAGTGTGTTTGGAAGTGTGAACACCTGGACTGAAGCACAGGTGTCTGCCCTGAACAGCATCATGGGTGAGAGCGTTTCTTCCAACAACTCAACTAGTTTTAGGGTTTCAAAGTGTTGACGCTCTGCTGAAGTTCTGATTCATGATGGACCTGTGTCCCTCAGCTGGACTGAATGCTGCTGAGATGTCCTCCCTGGACCCGTCTGTCTTCTCCTTCTTCAACAAGTCCTGTATTTCACAGATCCCCCCGCAGGTCTTTGCTGTAAGTATCCTGTTTGTAGAATGACAGGAACATCCTCGACCCGTCTCATTGGTCCGTCTCATGTTCTCCCATCAGGCGCTGTCTGCTGCTCAGCTGGAGGCCCTCGGGCCTGACAACGCTGCCATGGTGACCCACGATCAGCGAGCAGCTCTAACACCTGACCAGGTGTCCGTCCTGAACAGGGCGGAGTCTGGAGCAGTGGGTCAGGACGGGCAGCAGAGCCAGCCCGTCGGGTCCGGTAAGAACACGTTCTGCTGGTGGACCAGGAGTTTTATCAGAACAAACAGGTTTACTTCAGACCTGCTTTATAAACACATCATCTGTGAGATCAGTGGGTTTACTGGGTTAAATAAATAAATAACTGTAGAAATAAACTATTTAAAAACTATTTTTAATTTTTTTAACAACTTATGCAACATTTTTATGTCTAAATTACTAATAAAAGTTATATATGTGATCAATTTGTTAGAATTACTTTATGTACACGCCGAAAATAAGCTTCCTGTTGATCATTTCAATTCCATATTTTTTAAGCCACTTCAGTAGAAAACATAACTTATTAGTGTTTTCATCAGTGACTTTTTTAAGAAGTAAATCTAGACAATAAGAAAAAGAAAGAAGAAAAAGGAGAAATGTAATGGGAAAGATTGAAAAAGAGAACAGAAGTTATGCAGTATCAATTCCATCTTCAACGTCTTTAAAATGTTCATAAGTTGGCATAAGTTGTCTAGTGTGACAGGGCCTATAGAAGAGCAGCCTACACACAGGCCTAACCTTTAGTTTGTCTTCAGTTTGCCTGATCAAAATGCATTCATATAAAAAAATGAGGCAATATATAAAATAAAATAAGGCAACTAGGACGAAGAAAATATTACCAAATAAAAGGAGAAGAGCCAAAAACAAAATGCTTAACAAACACACCCTTTATTTGACAAATTTTCTAATTAATACAAAAATTGAGGCACCTTCACCATGAATGAACAGTGAAATTAAAGCCTTGCAAAAAATATTTATTCAGTTCAATCAGATCATCAAAAACAAATCACCACAATGAGATTTTATGCTTTAGGTCTGCGTAAAATTGTTGAAGTTGTCACGAATGGAAAATGTTAACCAAACTTGCTCTAATGTTTAGACAGTAAGTACAGTAGTTTATATATCTTTCACAAAGCAGCACCCTTAAAAATTATTACTTTTGCTGGCAATAAGTTCATTTCCAAGCTTCAATTGTTTGGCTGTTTTGAAAAGCAAAATACAATTAACTCAGCACTTTAGAATGTTTGGCAGTGATGATGTCTTTGCTGTGTAGAGTTAAAAACGAGTTTCCTCAGAATGAATCTTTGGAGAGGGCAATGATGGTGAAACGAACCTCCTGAGGGTCACGAGCCATGAAGGTCTTACAAACTCCTACAGCATCCTGGAACAAAAATAATTCATTTCAGCTCAGAATCAAGGTTCATTCAGGCTCCTAAACAAAGTTTTGGACAGTCAAGTTAGAGAAATAACTCCACAAACCAAAGGAGAACTGCATACAGGTCCTTCTCAAAAAATTAGCATATTGTGATAAAGTTCATTACTTTCTGTAATGTACTGATAAACATTTCATATATTTTAGATTCATTGCACGCCAACTGAAGTAGTTCAAGCCTTTTATTGTTTTAATATTGATGATTTTGGCAAAAAGTAAAGAAAAACCAAAAATTCCTATCTCAGAAAATTAGCATATTTCATCCGACCAATAAAAGAAAAGTGTTTTTAATACAAAAAAGTCAACCTTCAAATAATTATGTTCAGTTATGCACTCAATACTTGGTNCCTTCAGGGTGGATATAGCTCGCTAGCAGCCTCGCACCGAGGACCTATCCACGTCATCATTTACCCAGAATGCTTTGTGTGCAAATAAAATGGCTCCGTCCGTGTTAAAATATATTTTTAAAAAATTATAAAAACTGAACATCCCACAGTATTTTTACAGTCTTTATTTTACAGTTAAAATAAATGTTTATCAAATAAAGTTTAATGTTACAACCAATCATGGATCCCTTTAAAATATCCCTGGTTTTCAGAAAAGCTTGAGTTTTGGTTTGTTTGTTTGTTTGTTTACATTTAGGAGCTCCGGAGCTGAGGGAGATCTGCACCTTCATGAAGCTCGTTCTGTTTCTCCTCATCGCTCTTTTCCTGTGAGAACAGAATCGTCACTTCCTGCTGCGAAAACAAGACAAACTTCAGTTTTCTGCAGAGCACTGACTGCGAGCTGAAAACACATTTCTTCTTTTTTTTGAGTTGAAGACATAAAACCCTGTTGAAAGTAGTAGCTACACTTTACACATGATCTAAGATGATTGCTCTATTTTATTGTATGTTGATAAGAGTTTATTTTAATAGAAAGATGGAGGTTTATTGTTATAAATTGTTGCTTTTATGAATACACTGTGCTGATGTGATGCAGGATCAATCAAATGAACTCAAAGATTATTAATAAAATAAGACAAGAAGAGTTGGTGCCTCTGGTTTATTCATTCAGAAACATTTGATCAGAAATGAACGTTGCTTTGAAGGTCAGCACTGATAGCTACAGGACGAGAAAACTTTAAAAAATCTAAACAATTAAATCAGCAAAGTTTAAGTTCTGACGGTTTATAAAAATGAGAACAGGCAGTTTATCAGACGCAACATGAGTGGTTTCAAAGACAGTAGAAAATATCTGAAGAACAGTGACGTCTACAGAACCGTCCAGATGTTCATGTTCTGACAAAACAGTGCAGAGAAACAATCAGTGTTTTAACTGTGACCATTAATATATTCTGACAGGAAACACAACTAAAGTCACGCTTTGTTACAGTCATCTGAGAAAGAAAAACCTGCAAAACAAACTAAATCTAGAATTTTACTGACATCTCTGGCTCAGCGAAAAAGAATAAATCGTTAAACTTCACGTAAATGAAGTCGTTTCATTTAAAAACGTGTTAATTTTAAATATTTTGAAAGTTTGATTCTAATAAATAGGATGTATTTACAGGTGGTGTTATTGCTGAGCACACTCCTGATGGCTCCCCTCAGATCAGTCAAACCAAGAAAAACTGATGTTTTTATCCAAACTGTAAGAGAAATAACAAAATAAAGTTCCATAAAGAAGACAGACAACGTCTGTCAGTAAATCAGGAACAATAAATCCAGAAGGACTTCACAGGACATGGTCTGAGTGTGTGTCAGGACATCAGCTGTTAACAATCACAGTGTGGTTCCATTAATCCACCATCACAGCAGGACTGTGACCATGGAAACGCTAAGGTCCAGCTGTAAACAGGAAGTAGGTCTGGTGACAGGACAGAGCAGCAGATCCTGAGGGTTCTTTGGTTCTGTTCATGTGAAGTGTGTCACCTCCACATGAACACCTTAAAGGATCCAGGATTAGTTGTAACATTAGACTTTATTTCATAAACATATTTTAACTGTAAAATAAAATCTAAAGTTACAACTACTCATGGATCCCTTTAAAAATCAAATAAAAAGGCACTTGGGGTTTTGAACTACAGACCAGTTTCACTTTGCATTCCTGGCGTTAATGAAAGCCATCCCATGAGTCCTGAAGTGTGTGTTCAGATCTGTGGCCTTGTCAAAGTGTTTGAGACACACCTTACAGGTGAGCGTCCCGTCCTCGTCCCTCCCCTGACCTGTGGGGGCGTGTCCAGGGGGCGAGTCGGACCCGTTCAGGGAGCTCCTGTCGTGGTGGTTCCTGACCTGAACGGAGGAGGTGGACGGCTGCGCCTCCTGCTGGCCGTCGCTGAAGGCGTCCCTCACCTTGTGGGTGATGAAGAGGTGGCGGGACAGCGAGGACGTGGAGGCGAAGCAGGCGCCGCAGTGCACGCACTGCAGGTCGCCGCCCTCCACCCCCCCACGCCTGTGCTGGCTGATGTGCTCCACGAAGGTGGTCCGGTCCTCTGTGGTGAAGCCGCAGGGGGCGCAGCTGAAGCCGGACTCAGGCTGAGCGTGGGGAGCAGCCGAGAAGGAGGAGGAGGGGCGGAGCTTCTTGGCTGGACTCATCCTGTCTGCAGACTCCGCCTCTGGCTCCACCTTCACTGTGGCTCCTCGCCTCCGGCAGGACCTGGACCCACCGTCTGGTTCTGAAGAACTCTCAGCCTCCTCAGCTCTCTGTTCAGAGACAACGTTCACATCGATTAGTTCTGTTTCAAGTTGCTCCACTTTAGCTTTAACTAACTAACTTTAACTTTAACTAATTTTAACTAACTTTAACTTTAACTAACTTTAAATAACTTTAACTAACTAACTTTAACTTTAACTAACTTTAACTAACTTTAACTAACTTTAACTTTAACTAACTTTAACTAACTAACTTTAAC